TTTGTTTTAATTGCCCCAGAGTATCCGCGGCCCAAAGGGGGTTTGTATTTAATTTCGTATCCACGTGCCCCGGCTTCCACTTTGGAGGGAAAAGAAAATGAATTAATTAGGCAAGGCAATTGTACTCAAGCCCCAAATGAGAGGCGTGAGGCTCTTGAAGTGAACAAACAGCTTAAAAAAAAAAAAATCCAGGCATATCTTGGCCTTGGGGACGCAGGTTGGGTCGCCAGGCCACGGGGCCCAAAGCGGGGCCCCTGTCTCCAGGCCCTGCCCCGGCGCTCTGGGCAGGGCAAGGCTATGCTGAGCGGCGCAGACAACTGGTTGGGCCCCTGGCTGCTGCTCGGAAACAGCCCATCTTCAAAGTTAGCAAAAGCTTCCCGTGGGCCCTGGTGGATTTGTGCGGGTTGGAACTGATCATAGACTGGGATTGTGAGAGGTCACAGCCCTTCCCGGTGGAGCGGCTCCCATGGTAGGTTAAGTCACAGAAGGTAGGTCAAGTCACAGAAGGCCTGGGAAGAGGCTGGTGGTACCTAGGGGATGCCCGGGCTGGGTTTGACCAATTTTGGAATCCCTTGGACCTGGATATGCCCTCAGCCATCTTACTCCAGGCCTGCCACCCTCAGCTCCTCAGGGACTCATCCCTTACCTTTTGTAGGTCACCTGAGGGGCTGTGGCCCTGGGGCAGGCTCTTGGCCCAGAGCCACTCACTGGCTGCAAGACGATGCCTTATATCAGTGGTTCTCAGATGTAAGCCTGCATCCGAATCACCCCCAGGGCTTGTGAACACAACATGTGGCTGGACAAACGCGCTGGATTTTCCGAGCCAGTGGGTCCTGGGTGGGCTTGAGGAGCTGCCTGCCTAGCAAGCTCCCTGCTACTGCTGACGCTGCTGGTCCAGAGACCCCATGTCCAGAACGGCTGGCTTGCAGGAAGGTTCGCGCCGCTCCTCTCACATCTAGCGGTCACCACATGAGAGCACTGGAGGGTTTTCTTTGTTTGACAGACGTCACCATCACCCTGTCCCACTTCCACAGACCCAAAGAGATTCAGATTCTCCTGAGTGATGTGGAGAACCACTCATTCCAGCAGGTGCCCATGAGGATAAAGGATTTGGTGACTTCAACCTAGATCCTGTTGGGCTGAAATATACAGTCTACTTTTTAATGTCTGTGGAAGGAAATTGGCCATTTCGGGAAAACGGGGGCTCTCAGTATCGCGGGGTTTCCACCTGTCTTCCTGGGCCTCTCTGCAGTTTCTCTCCTTCATTGCACATGGACTTGGTTGGTCTTGGGGGGAACTGAATAGTTCCCTCAGGTTGTTTGTTATCAGGATTCATGGAATTAGAGATTCAAAGCCTGTGAGCCTTAAGGGTTTGAATTTACCTAACTGTAGTCAATGTAGAAGCCCCCCTGTAGGGGACTGGGCTATTTCTTTTAAATCCTCATCCGGGGATATTTTTTTCCATTGCTTTTTAGAGACTGGGAGGGAGGAAGGCAGGGAGAGGGGGCTGGGGGTGGAGAGAGAGAACCATCAAGGTGAGACACATTGATAGGTTGCCTCTCCATAACCCTGACCAGGGCCAGGGAATCTAACCTGCAACCCAGGTACATGCCCTTGACTGGGAATTGAACCCGAGACTTTTCAGTGTATGGGTGGACGCTCTAACCACTTGGCCACACCAGTCGGGAAGGGGGCTGGGCTATTTTTAATCAGGCATATCCAGTCTCTCACTTTCTCATCTTCCATTGTGCTCCTATTGTGTGTCAGGCACCACCCGAGGCCCCAGAAATCCAGAGGTGGCAGGACCATCCCTTTCCAAGGGATCGAGGAGCGGCAGGAATGAAGAGAACTGACCAAGACACAATGGGGGTCCCTAAAAGGGCCGTGCAGGTTGCTGTGTGGCCCGGAGCGGGGGTGGCAGTGATGACTGAAGAATTCTGTACTGGAGGGGGCAGAGAAGAGAAGGTCAGGATTTCTGTTCACAGAGCAGTGTGACATTTTGATCCAGAAGACAGATCGTGACTGCCCTTGCCTCTCTAGCCCTTTGTGTCAGTAATCTGAAGGGTGTGGTCTGATTTCAGGAGAAGGCCCTTTATTTTAAAGATACCATGCTTTCCCATTGGGTTTAAAACCCCACCATTATAATTCATCGGTTTGAATTAAGTTTTAATACTCCACCACAATGTGCAGGCCCCAGAGACTGTATTAATCTGGTATCTCTCATTGCTGCTTACGTGAGTCCGTTTATCACATCCTCTCGAACTCAGCATGGATGAGGATGAAGGCAACAGGGATGAGGATGCTCAGGGGAGAAGCATCCGGGGCCTGGAGGGGAGGGGGCGTTAAAACCAGGCAGAACCTTCACTGAATCTGCTTGCCTTCGTGGGCACGGAATGACATCCTAGGCCCGTAGTTCTCGGGTGCTGAAATGGTTTGAGATCAGTAAAATCTCCAGGACCAATTCCCTTGGCCAACTGTCAACTTGCCAAGTAAAAATACTTCAAACAAGAAAAAACAGCCCCCAGATACACTTACAATATCTTCTATCAACATTATTTCATTGGAAAGCCGGGGCATTTTTATCATCCTAAATGAGGAAGGCCCTAGAACAGCGATTCTCAACCTGTGGGTCGCGACCCCTTTGGGGGTCGAACGACCCTTTCACAGGGGTCACCTAAGACCATCGGAAAACACATATATAATTACATATTGTTTTTGTGATTAATCACTATGCTTTAATTATGATCAATTTGTAACAATGAAATTGGGGGTCAACACAACATGAGGAACTGTATTAAAGGGTCGCGGCATTAGGAAGGTTGAGAACCACTGCCCTAGAACATAATAAAAGGCAGTCCTTGGAACGGAATCTAATTTGCTTGTGAGAAACTCCTAACTGGTCTTTGTCTCATTTTGCTGTGCACCAGTGGGAACGTCCCTTTGGACCGTCACTGTCCATGCTGATACTTGGAAACCACATTTCTAGGGACTGAGCGTGCGTAGGGTACAGAGATCGGCCCCTACAGAGACACCTGACCTGTGGGTTACAGGAGGGGAGCAGAGGGCACTACTGGTGAGTAAGGAATGCTCATTTTCCCCACTTCCCTCCTACGTAAACTCCTGGGCCCAAATGCCACCGGCTCTAGGGAGCCTTCCCTCATGACCTTAGGTTCAAACTCAGTTGGCCATGTCTCTGCCCCACTGAGCATTGCCTGTAGCCCCATGTGGAAACTGCCCAATCCTGTTTCATATCTCTCTCACTTTGCTGGCCTCGTCTCCTCCTCCAAGTAGACTTCAAAGCAGAGGTTGTTTCTTAACCAGCTCCCGGTATTCCTTTCATGCCTAGAAAGTTCTTATCCTATATAATAAAAACATAATATGCAAATCGACCAAATGGCGGCGGAAAGACCAGTCGGCAGGGGGTGGGGCCGGTGAGCAAGGAGCACCAGGCCAGCCAAGGCACGTGCCAGCGGGCAGAGGAGGAATGACGGTGTGGGGGGGGGGTGGCGACCAGCAGTGGTGGAGGGGCGATGGGGGGGGGCTGGCACCGTCCCCTGATCAGCCCGTGTCAGGTCGCCTCCCACAGAGGGAGGCCAGGCGGCAATGGCGGGGTGATGGGGGCGGTGCCGTCCCCTGATCAGCTGGCCTGGTCGCCTCCTGCAGACCATCAGTAGGATAGCCCCTGAGGACTCCCGGACTGTGAGAGGGCACAGGCCTGGCTGAGGGACCCCCCCAGTGCACGAATTTTCATGCACTGGGCCTCTAGTTCACTAAATAAAATTGAACCCATCCTCTTCCTTTCTCATTTTTTTCTTCCATCCTCCCTTCCTGTCTGCTTCCCTCCTTACCACCCTCCTTCTTTTCCTTTTTTACTTGTGGTTGGCTCCTCTGTGCTTTTCCTGCAGTCAGGTTCTCAGGAATCCTGGAGCCTTCTCCTCGCTCCCACCCCCTCCTCCCTTTCTGCAATTGCAGATATTCAGAATAAAGATGAATGAACTGTGACATTTGCCTTTACATCAAAATAGGAGAGAATAAAACAAAAATAGAAGACTGCTGTCAGACAGCACACTTCCCCCCTCGATGGGAAAGCCGGGCCCTTTTTCCTGCCGAGGGTGACCGTCAGCGTCTAGCTCACTCCTGCGTGCCACGTGTAACGTTGGTGCTCCCAGGTATCCTGTGACACTTAGGCTTTACCTTCCCTAAGTCCATTTCCTGTCTGTTTTGCATCCTCCATATTAGCCAATTACTTCCTATTTCTTTCTTCCTTAGAATATTCTACCAGAAATCATCCTCACATCCTGGTCCCCACACCCCTTCTTCTGAGCCTCAAGTCCCTGACTCCGCCCCCTCTCTCCCTATGGGCCACAGAGCCCTTGCTTTGAGAAGCTGTAGTGAAGATGGGATGGGAGCTCTTAGGTGGGTAACCTAAGAGTTTTCCCGGTATTTCTATGGGAATGCTGAAGGTCTGCGAATCACGCACTCTGTAGCCCTGGTGTGCTCCGAGCTGTATTTCTGGACCTGTCAGATGAAATGCTGTTGCTCTTGGTTATTTTTGGCTCTTTGCCCTTCTGAATAGGTGCATATTCAGCTGGATTCTTCCCCACCCTGAGCTGGGAAAAAGCAGGCAGCTTCCCTTAGCCAAGCCTTGTCTTGTGTCAGGAGCACTCGCCTCTTAAGCAGCTGCTGCCAGATGTTCTCTGGGCTGCACACGGGCTGTTTTGCTGTGTCCAGGTGGGCAGGCGGGGGGGGGGGGGCAGAATCCATTCTCTGGTCATTAATAAAGAGCTTTGTGAGCTGAACCCTGCTGGGCAGGTGCAGCCAGGTGTCTGTAGCCACCTCACCCAAACCTAGGTCTGCAACCTGCCCAGGTGGGCATGGCTTCAGAGACTTCTCCTGCCATCCCTGGGGGGCGCGGGGGAAGGGGGGACATTTTCAGGTTCCAATGAGCACAGAAAATATCTGTATTCTGAGGGTTCTGAGGAAAGGAAGTTTTTTTATTCCACTGGAAGGCAGAAGGTCAAAGGGCGCGTGTCCGTAGGGGAAAGGCGGATCTTGGGGTGAGCGTTTGAGAAAACCTGTGTGTGGAAAAGAGTGGAGTGGAGAGAGCTGAGTGTGAATGTGCAGATCCCCTTGGGACAGAGAAGTGAGAGGAGAGAGCGCCTCCGCCCGAGGGAGGGAATGTCCCTGTAAATAATGGAGGAGAGAGAGTGCGTGCACATGACGGTGTGGGGAACGGGGGCTGTGTCTACAAGTCCTGACAGTGTTTTATAACCGCATCCTGCTGCCGGAATCACGATGCGCAGGCAAACATTAACAGCGACTCAGCTTTCAGTCTATCGGTAAAATACAATGTCAAGTCAAACGAAACGTCAAGATCATGTGTACCTGTATGGACGCTTAGCAAGGTCCAGGTAAAATCAAGAAAAGCACACAGAAGTAGCTCTTAGAAGCTACTTATCTCTACAGCTTGTCCTGAGAGATTTCTTCATATATATATTATTATATATGTGTGTATGTGTGTATGTATCTATATGTGTGTATGTGTGTGTGTATATGTATATATATATAGATATATAGATAGATAGATAGATAGATAGATAGATAGATTTCAAAGAGGAAGGGATAGGGAGAGAGAGATAGAAACATCAATGATGAGAGAGAATCATTGATCGGCTGCCTCCTGCATGCCCCCCACTGGGGATCAGGCCTGAAACCCGGGCATGTGCCCTGACTGGGAATCGAACCATGATCTCTTGGTTCATAGGTCGACACTCGACCACTGAGCCATACCGGCTGGCGAGAGATTTCTTTTTAAAGTTCTTATCAAGTATTATTTTAATGAATTAATTCATTTAATCCTTATGACATCAGCAGCAGCCCCATTTTACAGATGAAGAAACTGAGTCATTGGAAAGACCCAATCCAGGAGGTGGCAGAGCAGGTTTAGATTAGGCATTTGGCTCAAGGACTCAAGCTCACACCACTGCCCTAAACTCCTGCTGTGGACGGGGCGATGGAGAGGCAAGCAGGTGTTGTGCAGCATGTGGAGGAGTCACACCTGGGTTTTAGACTTAGGTCTCCATCAGTGCTTTGCCAGGTGCTTGAGAACATAGATTGTCATGTCAGAGACACGACAATCAGGGCCTAGTCCATCACTTCCTAGCTGTGTTACCACAGGCAGGTCACTAATCCTTTTCTAAGCTCAGTCTCCAAGTCTATAAAAATGGGGATAAAGTTGCTGATCGGCCCTTTTCCATGGTGTCGTGAAAACTAGGTAAGGTAGCATAGGTGGGTGCGTGGTAAATGATCAAGCCCTAGACAAGAGTAAAGCATTGTTTGTGTATTATTCACACTTGCCTGCTTCCAAAAAGGCTCACAAAGAAAGATACATCTCTGATAAGACCATAAAGAATAAGAGGTTACAAATATCTCTGGTAGCATATCTCCAAAGTGGACCCGCCCATGAACCACAACTCCCATTATAACACTCAGGGTGGCATTCCTCCTGGGGGAAGCCAACTGCCATGTGTGGACTCTGAGAAAGCTCAAGTTAGCCACGTGGAGGGAGAGAGAGGTGCTCGGCCAGCCTCCAGCCATGCCAGCCACCTCAGCCCAGGTACCAGACATGTGAATGAGCAAGCCATGCTGAACATGTAGCATCGTTGGACCTTTAAAGGATTCCAACACCAGCCACCATCCAGCAGAAGCTGCGTGTGACTCCCCAGGCAAGAACTGCTCAGCCAAGTCCTGTTAACTCACAGGACCATGAAAGATAAAAATAAATGGTTGTTTTGAGCCACTGAGTTTTGGTGTAAGTTTGTTCACAGCAATAGAGAACGGAAACAGGGCCCTAGACTAATATTAGTATTTTAACTGAATGGTATAGTTAGCTTTGAGCTTCCTGGCATTCAAAGCGAAAAGGGGAACAGGATGGATTATATGCACTTATTATCTTGCGGTTCAATGGTTTACCTCAGTGGTCAGCAAACCTCGGCCCGCGAGCCACATGCGGCTCTTTGGCCCCTTGAGTGTGGCTCTTCCACAAAATACCACATGCGGGCGTTCACATACAGTGCGGTTGAAACTTCGTGCCCATGTGCAGAAGTCGTATTTTTTGGAGAGCCACACTCCAGGGCCAAAGAGCCTCATGTGGCTCGCGAGCTGCAGTTTGCCGACCACTGGTTTACCTGAATGGATAGTTCATCTGACTTATCTCCTTTGCAGTCAAATCAGTGTGAAAATTAAACCATCTTTCTTCCATGAAAACCTCTCCTATCTTTATCAAAATTACAGTTTTGCAAACCCAGGAATTGCAGTCGTCACAAACAAGAAAATGCCCCTTGCATAGAAATGCTGAAAATAGTTGAAACTTAAGCAGATTCAATGATTTATTCAAACCTTCAGGAAAAAAAATTACTATTCAGCCTGGAACTAAAATTTAGACTTGTGGTTCCTAATCAACTGGAATGCAATACTTCCCTGGTGCTAACCCCCAAAAAGGGAAAGGGAAAAAAAGACATAAAATATATAAGAGGCTGTCCTGTGCTCCTTAGAACCCAGGCCCTGGAGGTCAGGGACCATGTCTGTCTTCTGAGTAATATGTTGCTTAACACCTTCCTGGTGCTTACTAAAGCCTTTCTTCATTAAGTGACCTTCCGAATCCATGATAAGAAGAGACACAAAGATGACTGTGAACCAGTGATTTCCATTCTCTCCAGTGTGGCCTTGGTGAATGGTGTCACCTGCCTTTCGGTCCCATTCTGGGAAGTCCGGGCATTTGCACGTGAGTATTTGAGGTCACCTCACTCACTCAGGACCTGAACGCGGTCCAGGCAACCGCATGAAGGTAGTAAACTTTGTCTTTTCGTGCCCTTGACCTCATTGTCTATCATCTTCCCCTTCATTTGTCTCCACACCCCTAAGTTGGACTTCACAGTCCTTGTTCTGAAACTCTTTGTGGGTAGCCTAATGGTTGGGAGGAAAGGCAAGGCTGAGTTCCTTGGCCTACATTTGCATAAACACTTCCCAATCATCAAGAGCTTCCACACCCATGTTTCAGTTCATTGTAAATTGTGGGTTGAATTGTATTCTAACTCCTGGTACTTGTGAATATGAGCTTATTTGGAAATAGGGCCTTTGCAGATGGAACCAAGTTTGGGTGAGATCCTAGGATGGGCCGTAATCCAATAGGACCGAGGGCCTTATGGGAGGATGTAAATGTGGACATGGACATGCACAGAAGGGAAGACGGCCATGTGAAGACAGAGGCAGAGATTGGAGGTTTGCTGCCACAAGCCAAGGAACAGGAACGCCTGGGCTATCAGCAGCTGGAAGAGATGAGGAGAGATCCTTGTCTAGAGGCTTTTGGGGGAGCACGGCTTGGCCAGCACCTTGTTTTGGGACTTCCGCCTTCCAGAGCTGCAGGACAGTACATTTCTGTTGTTTCCAGCCACCCAGTTTGGAGTACTCTGTTCCAGCAGCCCTGGAACACGACACAGGTGCTGTCATTTCCCCTGTACTTTTTAACTCCAATGTTACAGGTACCTACTGTGTGCCAGGCTCTGTGCTGAATTCTGGAAACTGGACCCAAGGCTTCAGGTTGATACAAAACAGATCAAAGACCCTGAGCCTTCGGGTGAATTTCCACGCTCATTCCGTTGTGTCTCCGGCTCTCCCAGGCATCGCCCACCCATCATCACCGCCTGGCTGTGCCCATGCCCGCAGCTGTCTTAGAGGCAGACAGTGCTGGGACTGGCAGCGACTTGGGAGATCTCCTGAGGAGGGATGCTCCCAGCGGCAAGGCAGCACTGGACTCCAACATGTCTTCTCTCCCCCTGACTCTCATTCATTCATGTTATGAATAAATTCAACAAATATTAAATGTTTGTGGAATGAACACTACATTATTAATGACTGGTGAAGAGAATGTGTTATACCTCCCCGAGGTATTTGAACACGGAACAATACCTTAACCCAGAGAGGTCGGTTTCTGAAAGTGGGATGGGGGTGGGGGTGGGGTGGGCAAAGCAGGGCAGGGAGGTTTGGGGGGTGAGGGCAGAGTCTTTTCCTCACCCTCATCTCATATCCCTAAAGCAACTTCTGTGTCTGCTCAGGACAGGACAGAAACCTTGGAGGATTCTGGAAGGGAGCTGAGGAAGAGCTTTGGGAGGCCAAGCAGGGCTGTGACCTCGGGATTGAGAAGGAAGCACTGGTCTCATTATATGCATCTACCACGGCTGCTGTTTTAAACTCCGATACTGCCGCACAATACAGAAATAGATCCATTATAGGTCTGTTATAGCCTCGGGGCTTTAACACAGGTCACTAGAAAATCCAAGATTGCACAGTAATTCAAACTCCTAAGAAAAAGAAAAAAAAATTATCTTCTGCACCCCTCTTCTCCTCCCCCACCCCCGAGCCCTCAGCCCCATTCCCCAGCATAGCAGGGAGCGCCTCTTCATTTCTGTAGTTCCCTGGAATAAACAGCTCTTCCATTGAACTTGAAATCTACATTTTTCTTCAGCTATTAATTGATAAGAGCAGCTCGTTTTACCTCTCGTGCTTGGAAGTAAGATTACAGAGTAAATAAACTGGGTCAGGTTCAGCAGGATGGACGTGAACTGCTCCCTAATTCCTCCTAATCTCTGGTAAAGGAATAACTGGGATTGGGACGTCAACATTCAATAAACAATTACTGTATGTCGCTCCTTCCAACGCGATCTAAATCCGTCCACTGTTCCCTGTTTTGTTCTAGCCCTCGAGAGAGGGGGGAGGCTGTAGGAGGAGTCTGATTTCATTTATATTAATTTTTAGAGCATCGGGAGCTCGTGTTTTACTTGCAACAGATCAGGGAAAAGGGGTCAGTTAACAAGGGCTTTCCCGACTACTGATCACCACGCCGTGCTCAGCATTTCATGAGCCTGGCTTCTCCTTCTCACGGCGCGTGAGAATCATTATCCAATTATTAATCTCACCCCAGAGTTCCGAGGAGCTTATGATGCCCGTCGAAGTTAATGAAGACTTTTACCTATAGATCTGGCGCTAAATCATTGTGATTGACCGAGTGCCCGCAGTGTGGCAGGCACTGATACAATTGACAGAAGGGAAAAAAGAATTAAACAGGAGGAAATTAAGAAGAGGAAGTAGGAGAAGGCTCCAGAAAGGAGGAGGGGGCAGTTCACAAAACTAGCCTGTGGCCTCATTAGCAAAAAGGAAGAACTCACCAGCTAATCTGCCTCGACTTTCATGATTCATTTATATATGTTTATGTGGCACACTTTCCCTAGGGAACTCAATGTTCTTTGCAAACATATTAAATAATTAACTCTCGCAAGTCTGAGTGAAGTGGAAAGACAGCAAAATAACTCCATAAAAGGCTAGTCATGTTAGCGTGTGACGATTGGATGTCACTTTGGCGAGGTAATCCCATGTGATACTTACCAGGGGCCATATGGCAAAAGACCACCTTCCGGAGCAAGCAGTTTTAGTATATATATATATAAATAATGGTAGATAGATAGATAGATAAATAGACAGAAATAAATAGATATGAATTATTATAGGAACCCACTATATTTTGAGGGAGGGTGTTATTAGAAGGCAGTTGAATGGGGTACATTTTTAAAAAATACCACCTTTGCCCTAACCGGTTTGGCGCAGTGGATAGAGCGTCAGCCTGCGGACTCAAGAGTCCCAGGTTCGATTCTGGTCAGGGGCATGTACCTTGGTTGTGGGCACATCCCCAGTGGGGGGTGTGCAGGAGGCAGCTGATCGATGTTTCTCTCTCATCGATGTTTTTAACTCTCTATCCCTCTCCCTTCCTCTCTGTAAAAAATCAATAAAATATATTTTAAAAAAAATACCACCTTCAAGACAAAAACAAAACTTAGGAAGTATTTCAAAGCAAGGGTGTAGAATGTGGCATTAAATACAATGAAACTGCAAAGGTTGAACGCCAAATGATGAGCAATAGCGTGTACTAGGTTGTGTATAAACATGTTTTGAGTTTCTAAAATGTTATCCTCACTGTCCTGTTGACAGGACACCATGAGAAACAAACAAACAAATCTGTAACACAAATGGTTTAAACTTCTCTCCGGAAAGTATAAACGTGTCCAAATCAGTGGAGGACAAAAACAAACACATAAAAAACTTAAGAAGTTATTAAAAAGCAGAAGTGAAAGTGGCAGCTGTTTAGATGCAGAGTGAGTAGGGCGGCCACATTGTCATCAAAAGATTCTGGCCTCCTGGGCTAAGACCTCTTGTTGGTTACAGGAACAGACTCCTGTTCGGTGCATCTCAAACCTGGCAAATTGGAATCCACACACGTAGGAGGACAGGACGGTCCTTGGAGAGATCCCGGTAATTAAAACCACAACATGTATTTGTTCGTGTACATATCACCCAGCCACACATCAGCAGCAGCTAATGTTGAGATGTGGCCAGCGAGCCTACAGAGAGTTTCAGTGTGGGAGAGAGAGGATGATTAACAAGAAGACAGGTTTTCTTACCTTTTTAAAATGAAAAATGACCTTACTCAAACCACTAGCAGGAAATTAAATTAAAAAGGGAAGGGTGATGAGTTGAAAAAGAAGAAACTTTTTTTAAAAAGCAAATAAAACCACTCTAATTGATTTCCAACTCCACCTGGAATCCTGACTGCTTTCAGTTTTTCAGTTATTTATTTACTTACTTTTTTTTTTTTTTTTTTTTTAAGAAAAAGCAACTTGGTGTGTGGGACTAATTCTCAATCAAGGCCTTTGAGAAAGTTGCTTGACCCTTCTGAGCTGCTTTCTCCGTGAACATAATGATAGTCACTCTCAGGATTGTTCTGAGGATTACATGAAATGGTGGCGGGGGAAGTGCTTTGCAAACTACCTAAATGTGGGGTTATTAGTGTCATTTCTAACAGGATGGGAAGCCTTTACTGTTCAGGGCACATACTTCAGAGTGTCAGCATCTGAAAACTCAGATCTCTTCCTCCCACCCTCTTTTGTAAGGCAAACATCTCATCCTCCTGCCACTGAATGTTCCGAAATCATGCTCCTTTTTCAAAGATGTTGGTCTCATGTTCTTACTTCCTTCCCCCCTGGACTAACTCAAGTGTAGCTGGCAAATTTCAACATTAACCAGGGATCAGTCTTTTAGCCTTAATATAAACTCACCAATATGTTCCTGCCCAATCCTGCTTCCAGCAGCAGCACAGACCACAAAACAAAGCAAGCCCTCCTCTCTTCATGTTCCTTCAGGGGCTGTAGATAAATTTTTTTACCCCCAAATAAACATGCAGGCTGCCCGGAGTGACTTCCTTCTAGGACAGTGGTTCTCAATCTTCCTAATGCCGTGACCCTTTAATACAGTTCCTCATGTTGTGGTGACCCCCAACTTCATTGTTACAAATTGATCATAATTAAAGCATAGTGATTAATCACAAAAACAATATGTAATTATATATGTGTTTTCCGGTGGTCTTAGACGACCCCTAAGGGGTCGTTCAACCCCCAAAGGGGTCGCGACCCACAGGTTGAGAACCGCTGTTCTAGGGCTTTCTGATATTTACACCAACTAAGTTTCCTAACTCCATTCACATGTTTAGTAGCTGTGGCTTGTACCTTCTAAATCTAAAAGATCAAAACCTTTTTCAAATCATGTAAGCCACGGTATATTACTATTCTTAGCTGGTATTTTATTATTAGTCACATTATGAATCTATCATAGGCTATTTGCTTTTGCTGGAATATATACATATATAATTTGAATCTATTTTATATATTACATCTAGAGAGCAAACAACTATATATTAGAGATGAGCTTAAACTTATTTTGCATATACAAAATACGTTTATATAATTATATATTTTATGTACACATAAGTTTATACAATTTATATATTTTATATACACATAAGTTTAAACTTGTCTATATCTAACCTCAACTCACCAGATTTCAATTTAAGGTGCTTAACAGGTGCTTCCATGACATTCTAAAAATCCTGAATCTCCGACTACAAAAAAGAAACATTTGGCCCCAGCCCTGTGGCTCAACTGGTTGGAGCATCCTCCTGCACACCAAAAGGTTGTGCATTCAATTCCCAGTCAGGGCACATACCTAGGTTGTAGGTTAGGTTCCTGGTTGGGGTGCGTACAGGAGGCAACCGATCGATGTTTCTGTTTCTCTCTCCCCCCGCCCCATTCCTCTGTCTTTAAAATCAGTGAGTATATCCTCTGTGAGGATTTGAAAAAAAAAAAAAGAATGAAAGAAACATCTGCTTACCTAACCAATTTAACAATAAGAAGTAGGCAAAATAGTGGGAAAGCCCTGGGCTGGTGGAGGTGAGAAGCAACACCCCTCAAATGACAATGCCGGACTCCCAAATGTGATTTCATTAAACCCCACAACACTCAGACAAGACTGCAGTCTCTGCTTTTCTTTTACGTTTCAGAAAAAGGAGAGTGGAGATGCAAGGAGATTTTGCCAGTTTTCAAGGTCGCTCACGTACAGCATGGTAAAGAGGCCGAAAGTCTAACACTGCTGGTCTGCCCGCTGCAGCAGCGGCAGCAGGACGGCGCTGTCTGTCCCAGGAGAGGAGGCGAGGGGACATGGGATCCTGTCAGAGCACTCCACTCCCTGGGGAAATTTTACAGAACTTTTCCATTTTACCATCCTATTGCCCACTGAGGCTGAGATGGGGAGAAATATTTAAAGACTCCAGAGCACAGAAAAAGCCAACAGCCAGTTCCTTTTTTTGTTCCTCTGCAAAGGAAAAAATATGGCCAAGCCGCTTTTGCATTTCAAACCTCAAAGTTCCAAAGCTGACTTGCAAAACCATAAGCTCAATTTTCCTCCGCGAATAGACAGGGGCCTGCCCCAGGCTTGGAAGTTTCAAGGAAGGTTATGTGTCTAAATAGTTTGAGAAGTAAAACTGATTTTAGTTTGAAAAACCTCTAGCCACATTCCACAGATTAAA